TGTTTACTTCAGCTGTGTCAGAAGGCACCTTGGTTTAATGCTGCCTCATTCAATAGCACCCAACAGAGCCAACGGAGATTTATTTGGAAATACTTGGGAGTAGAAATTCTCCCAGTTCTTGAAGCTCGGTATTTTTTTATGGAGGCAGTTTCTGGCTGAGGTTATCATACTTAGCTTCCATGGATCCTCAGAAGACTGAGGAAGAGAACCAGCTCTGGGCACCAACAGGACCTGCAACTTCAGGGACTATAAGCACAAAGGCTCCTCAATAGAAAGAAGTTTGTCTTGTTGAGGGTGCAAGGACCCCTAATTCAATATTCACAGAAGTCCTGTATAAATGCTGCGGAAACTATCTGAGAATATAAATCAAAACTATGTCAGTGAAATTGGCTTCAATTCCCTCTCAAGAGACGGTCAGCCATGTATATGCCATTTGTTCATTCTTTATTCTGATCCCAATTTTCATGGGCTACAAATGATGGAGGGACTCTTCCACACTCTGAACAGATTTCTCTATAGAAGCACAAAACTACATGCTTAGTAGCATTCCTACTTTTATTAAAAGTATTATGGTATCCTATAGTAATAGGCTCAAATAATGCAATAAGCACATCCCAAACTGTAGTGGTTTGGATCATTACTGTAGAATATTGGAGATTTTTTTAAAAACAGAATGTAAATAAAGTAGAGTGGAATATATAGCAGCTCTAGCAGTAGTTTTTCAAATCTTTATTCAATCACTTCTTTTCTATACAGAAATGGCAATTATTTATCCATTTATTTTACTCATTTAGCAGACACCCTTCTTTTGCTGACATTAGCATTGTTTTCTATCTCCACCCTTGTTTGAGCTTCTTCTAAGCATGCATCTGACAGCTGACATGCTCTGACTCCTACACCTCAGCATTCTTTAGAATTTTCCGATGGTATTACCATTTCCTCTGAGGGTAGCAACCTTGGGAGTAACCCACACTTCCCCTCATCCTTATGAAAAAAACATTTGTATTCAGAGTTACCTTTGTGAACATCAGTAGTTAAAAAGGGCAGGGGGGACTAGGGTATGGTTTTTAAAAGCTCTTAGTATTGGCCTACCTCTGCAGCCATTTAAATTAATGGTAGAACTCCCATTGATTGCACCGGAGTTGAGTAAGGCCAACAATGAGTACTTTTGAAAATCCCACCCTTACGGAGTTTTTATCCTATAAACATGTAGGTGTTATGTTCTACTGTACGGATAACAGATGGCCTCCATTTCACCTGATATGGTCCCTTGAAATATGTGTTAACTATTTATCCTAAACAATATTTGCCACCTTGCATTTAGCTGTGATACACTGAGCCACGACTACACTAAACCTACATCGGTATAACTATGTCACTCAGGAGTGTGAAAAATCCACCCCCCTGAGCGACGTAGTTATACCAACTTAATCCCCATGTAAACAGCTACGTCGATGGGAGAAGCTCTCCGCCTCTCGGGGAGGTGTATTAACTATGCTGACATGAGAAGTTCTCCCATCAGCCTAGCAGCGTCTTCACTAAACCACTGCAGTGGCGCAGCTGCAGCATGGTACATGAAGACAAGCCCTAAGTTTCCCAGACCTAAAACTTGTCTCTCTCACCAAGAGAAGTTGGTCCAATAACAGATACTACCTCACCCATCTTGTCTCTCTTCCATATCCTGGGACCGACATGGTTACAACACCACTGCAAACACTGATCATGTTACACAAAATTAATCTGCAAAACTCCTTGCCATAAGATAGTAATGAAGAAAAATGCTTAAAATAATTCTAAAAAAATATTGGATTTTTATATGAAAAATAAGAATACCTTCAATTTCACTAGGTAGGACAAAAAATATATATAAGGGATCTCAACTTCCAGGCTTCAGATCAACCACTTATTGTCTGTGATTAGTAAGAAACTTTCCTCTTAGGCATAACTGTCCATGCCTGTGGCTGTGTGTTTTATGCCTTCCTCTGAATTGGCCAGTCTCAGAGAGAGAATACCAGACTGAATACCATCTGGCCACCGGTCTGATCTGGTTCTAATGTTCTGATACATTAGATTAGATTATATAATGTCAGTGTTACATTTATATATATGCATTGATCATATGAAATTAATGCTATGAATTAAGGGGGTATCGGAGGGCTTTGTGTCACAGAAGGTCATTGCTCTGGCTTCTCAACTAGAGTTCAGATGGCTCCAGTCAGATTTATGGTCAAGTAAAAATGGGTTTGGTGGTCTCTGAACTTTGCCACAAGGGGGTTGTTGACCACATTTCCACACTGCAGCAAATTATGTACAATTACTACAATGCACTTTCCTATAAATTGCCAGTATGACATTAAATATTGTAGCACTTTTTGTAAGAACAGCTGAATGTGTTTTGAAGAAAAGGGAAGCATTGTCCGTCCTTAACACTCACTTCTCCCATGATACATATAGAAAGTAAATTAATATTTTATTAGGGCTGTCAAGCAATTAAAAAAATTAATCGCGATTCGTCTCACGATGAATCGCACTGCTAAACAATAATAGAATACCATTCATTTAAATATTTTTAGATATTTTCTACATTTTCAAATATATTGATTTAAATTACAACACAGAATACAAAGTGTACAGTGCTCACTTTATATTATCGTTTTTATTACAAATATTTGCACCGTAAGAAACAAAAGAGAGTATTTTTCAATTCACCTCATACAAGTACTGTAGTGCAATATCTTTATCATGAAAGTTGAACTTAAAAATGTAGAATTATGTACAAAAAAATAACTACACTCAAAAATAAAACAATGTAAAACTTTAGAACTTACAAGTCCATTCAGTTCTACTTCTTGTTCAGCCAATCGTTCAAACAAGTTTCAAGGAGATAATGCTGCCTGCTTCGTGTTTACAATGTCACCTGAAAGTAAGAACAGGTGTTTGCATGGCACTGTTGTAGCTGGTATCACAAGATATTTATGTGCCAGATGCACTGAAGATTCATATGTCCCTTCATGCTTCAACCTCCATTCCAGAAGACACATGTCCATGCCGATGATGGGTTCTGCTAGATAATGGTCCAAAGCAGTGCAAACCGACGCACATTCATTTTCATTATCTGAGTCAGATGCCACCAGCAGAAGGTTCATTTTCTTTTTCGGTGGTTTGGGTTCTGAAATTTCTGCATCGGAGTGTTGCTCTTTTAACTCTTCTGAAAGCATGTTCCACACCTCCTGCCTCTCAGATTTTGGAAGGCACTTCAGATTCTTAAACCTTGGGTCAAGTGCTTTAGAAATCTCACAGTGGTACCTTCTTTGTGTTTTATCAAATATGCAGTAAAAGTGTTCTTAAAATGAACAACATGTGCAAGGTCATCATCCGAGACTGCTATAACATGAAATATATGGCAGAATTCAGGTAAAACAGCAGGAGACATGCAATTCTCCCCCAAGGAGTTCAGTCACAAATTTAATCAATGCATTCTCTTTTAACGAGCATCATCAGCATGAAAGCATGTCCTCTAGAATGATGGCTGAAGCATGAAGGGGTATATGAATGTTTAGCATATCTGGCAAGTAAATACATTGTAATACTGGCTATAAAAGTGCCATGCGAATGCCTGTTCTCACTTTTAGGTGACATTGTAAATAATAAGCTGGCAGCATTATCTCCCGTAAATGTAAACAAACTTGTTTGTCTTAACAATTGGCTGAACAAGAATTAGGACTGAGTGGACTTGTAGGCTCTAAAGATTAACATTGTTTTGTTTTTTGAGTGCAGTTATGTAAAAAAATAATCTACATTTGTAAGTTGCACTTTCATAATGAAAAGATTGCACTACAGTACTTGTATGAGGTGAATTGAAAAATATTATTTCTTTTATCATTTTTACAGTGCAAATATTTGTAATAAAAATTATAATATAAAGTGAGCACTGTACACTTGGTATTCTATTCTGTAATAGAAATCAATATATTTGAAAATGTAGAAAAGCATCCAAAGATATTTAATAAATTTCAATTGGTATTCTACTGTCTTTAGTGAAGGAAATGTGTTTTTATGGTCTTCTCCACATGAAAAAACTGTGCCAATTTCAACAAATCTCTTTAGAAACTGATTTAGCTAAAATCACTTTATTATAAGGCACTCTTGAACCCAAATAAGAGTATCCACACACTAGGCTCAACCAACTTAAATCAATTTCTCAAGCCATTTAGTTAAACCAGCAAAATTTTCTCATTTATAGCAGGCCTAAATGTACTTTGACATGCCTACCACACTACTGGATTCTGTAAAAATAATTAACAGTAACTGATACTCACTGCTATCCATCATCTACCATCTAATTCATCCTTTTGAGAATTACAGTCTTTTTTTATTTGTATATTTTTATGAGTTGTATTTTTTTCTGAATGGTCTACCAATTATTTAGGGAATTAAATTATGCTTCCTTTCCCTTAAAAGGATGACTGCTTCTGCTGCACATGACATAATAATTATTAAATGTCTGTTTTATCCCAAGAATGTATTTGCTTCTTGGGATAGCTGCACCCTTGGTTTAATGCCAAGTAAAAGGGGTGAAACGAGTATCCAGAGCAAGTGATGGAAGCCTGCTGCTTGAGTCATTTACTGTAGTCCAGAACACATTGCAGGGGCGTTTCTGTCTTATTACTATTTTTCCATCCTTAATTCATTATTATAATGAGCTCAGTTTCCTGAAGTGTTTCACAATAGTATCCTATACCTCCCCTTCATTAGAAGCCCAATAACAGTTTTCATTACAACAAAAGACAAAAAAGTTTTTTTCTAATACTGGATTTTCCCAGTGACCAGTGGCAATGAATATAAATATGCCCAAGATCAGGGATTCCTGCATCTCATTCTGCTCTCCAGCCCTCTGGCCAGCAACTATTTTGAAAGAGCAAAGGGGGGAAAAAAGAGAAGGAAATGAATTATCTTCGGGGATGTAAGTAACACAGATGCTCAGCAGCAGAGTGAGCTAGTCTCTCCCACTGTCTTTTTGACAGTGTGTGTAACTTAATTGGCAGGATTTCACTCCACTCCCTTGTCTATTTCCTCTTCTCAGACTCTCTCTTGGCAGCGGCAGCCCTGACATTGCTCGTCGGGACCAAAGCTGTCCCCCTCCCAGATTCCTCCGGGGAAGAGGAACTTGTTGATGATCCCTTGGACTCGCTTGCCAGAAGCCCCTTGCTGCCTGATTGTGAATCCCTGGCATGGCTGCTGCACAGCAAAGCGGCCAAGCTGAAGGACGAGGTGGGTAATACACGGAGGCAGCTGGGACTGGGATCCCAACCTGAGTTAGTCAGTTCTTTGCTGCACTTGGCAGGTTTTAACAGCAAAGGGGACTATCTGGTGTTTTATGCCTCTCCTTCCCTCCAGCTGTTTTATCTGGGATATTGTTGTCATTTGTCTTGAGCTTGGCCATGGAATTGGCCACCTCTCTGTCTGATTGGGCTGCAGGGTGGCTTATGCTGGTTTCCCATGGGCAAGGCCTAAGAGAGCATGGAAGTGAATTCCTTTTAGTCCTGAAAAGCTCATGGGCCACGAAGATATTTGTCAAAAGTGGAGTGAGTGTAGGCAGGCACAATGCACAGCCACCCAGAGCATTTTTATTTACAGGACATGCAGTCTCCTGACCTTCTACAGGAGCAAATATTTGAGACATACATCTTAGAAAACATACCAATCTGCATTAGTGTAACCATGCTGTGTATCAGACAGACTAGTGCAAATTGTTTCTGATGGGAGATTATGAAAAGCATAGAAAATGTAACAGTGATTTCTAATTAGTTAGGACAACATATTTGACTATTCTGCTAAATAATTTTAAAAGCTGATTAAAAAAACATTTTTGTGGAGATTTCAGTAATGCACAAGGCCTTTCTACTGACATAGTTATACAGTGCCTTTTGCCTGGGAAATGGTAATGTGATAAAGGTGTAATAAAATCTCTGTATCTACTCCCAGATGTGTGAGAAGTTTACTGTGTGTGACAGCAGTATGGAGATGCTTGCCCAAAACAATCTGAACCTCCCCAAGATCACAGAGAAAGATGGATGTCTACTCTCTGGATTCAATGAGGCAAGGAATCAATAACTTTTATAATAAATTAATAACCCCATACATAGGGCCTTATCTGAAGCTCACTGAAGCACTGTATAAACATTAGCTAGTTAACTGATACATAGAAACAATATTTTCATCAAATAATGTTTTCTGCAATAAGTAATTTCCTTACCCTTCTCTCATTTTAGGAAAAATGCTTGAGAGGAATCTCCAGTGGACTTTTTACATTTCAGACATACCTGGAATATGTACGAGAAACATTTATTAGTGAAAAGCAAAAAGTGGAATCCATATGTTATGGTACAAAGCATCTGGCAAATACTGTGAGGCAGATGGTGAGTTATTTTTATGTTTACCCATACATAATTGTTTTGACTTTGATTTGAAAAGAAGACAGAAATATTATGCTCTGAAAAATACGTAGACACTGATAGTGATCCCATTGGTTACAATGGAAGCAGGCTGGCTCCACAAATCCATGCTCTCAATATTTATCAGAAAGGATATCAATGGTAAATTACAGATTTTACAAATATTTTCTGACAATTAGATTGTTCTTTCTACAGCTTATTGTTATCTCTAATTTGCACACCAGCTCTAGCAAGTAAATGTGCCACATTATTTTGCAAATGACACAAAAAAGTAGATGCTGGATTGGTGACAAAAGATAAATCTGCTTTCTGTTAATTTTTTCCTAGTAGTTGTAGAATTAGGACTCAATCCTGCAGTCTCTTCATGCCCAAAACTCCCACTGAAGTAAAAAACAAATACTCTTAAAGTGACCCAGAGAAAGACTAGAGAATACCTTTAACAAACAATATAAATATTTAAAATCTCATAAAAGCCAGCTTTCATGCAGGATCGTATGATATGATTAAAAATTTTCAGTTTAAAATCAAATGTACAAGTTATAGAATTACTGATAAACACAACCTATAGGTTAATGACTTGGCTGAATAACAAGTGCCACCTACAGAGAAACACTTGCTTTTTGCATCACATTTGATAACACCGTAACATTTTACAAAAGCCTGAATATTTGTGGACTCAGAAAATTAAATGCTATTCAGTTCTAATAGCTGTTCTGGATGTTTTGCAATACCTTGAAAGGACACATTAGCTGTGCTTGTATGTCTTGCAATACTTTGAAATGTAACTCTTTAAAATTCACTCCATTCCTGCAATTCTTACTTGCACTAATAGCTCTTCATGTGAATAGATTCTTTGTAGTCAGTGGAGCTACGGGCTGAATAAGAACCACTTAAGTGAGTGAGTGTTGCAGGATCAAGAATTATGGAAACTATAGGCCATTATTTCCTACAAGCTATTTTTTAATGCCTTGAAAAGCCATTTGTATATATAAAATAAATGTTGTATAGTATTTATTTTCATCGTTTTTAGATAAATGGGAGCTGAACTTTTTCCACACAGTGATAACCTAGAATAATAGTCCTGTTATGGAAAGATAATGGACCATTGATTTCACCTGTATATCTTGAAAACATTGATTTATGGCAATTGTTTGTGTTGCTCTATAGCTGGATGAACTCAGTGAGACTTTAGCTTCATGAAAGTGAGAAACTGATTGAATTGGCTGGAACTAAACATAATGCCTAACAAAAAGCTCACAAGTAAAACCTGTACCTGTGGGAACGATGAGACGTCCTGGGGAGTAGAAATAGAGTCTGCCTTCCCAATTAGGAAGTGGGGCCTGGACCACCCATACAGCCAAACTGCCCTAGCTGCTACTGAGTATGGGGATGACTTTGGGACATAGCCTATTGCTCACCTGTTGTTAGTTTGTGGTCAAGTAGATCCATAGAACCATTGCCAGGTCAGATTCCGAAAAAGATTCCCTAGCACAAGTAGTACAGGCTACAAATGAAACTCAAGTACCATAGATTACAGTGGGGATAAATAAGGTTATATAGCCCCATCAGACTATCTGCTGACCCAGTAGTATAGCAAAGAAAACCATGTGCTTTCTTGTAAGCATCTTTTACATTTTTCACACACATAAAGGCAGATCCTGTCCATCAAGAGCATTTTATAGTATTGTAACCAATGTATTTTTATTTTCTTTTTCATAGGTGAAAAATCCTGATGCAGTGATCATGCCAGACCCAGCTACCCAGAGCACACTTTTTGCAAAACTGAAGTCAAATAAAAAATGGATAGAGAAAATCAGCACCTATCTCATCCTCCGAGACTTTACTTCATTCATGGAGAAAACTGTGAGGGCTGTTCGATATCTGAAAAACACCAGAAATCTCAGTGTTTGAATGTTTTAATTCAGGCACATTTCTTCATCACAAAATCTGTCATGTGGCAGATGATGGTGTTGTTCTATTTTAAGAACCAGAAGTAATCAGAATAGTTTATATTTTATTAAGATTTCCTTTTACAAGTGTATTTATTGTTTTTTAAAATATTTATTTTTTTAAAAATATTGCCTATTTATTTTTCCAGGATTTAGAGATAATTTAAACAGAGCCTAGTTTATTTCAATATTTACTTCCACTACCAGTATTTATTACCACTATTTACAATACAAACTGATTTCACTTAATATTCAAGAAAAAAAATTCACTTGAGACGGTTGTATGTAGAATGAAAACACAGACTAATTTATGCTTTGAAAATGTGTGAGAGAGTATTTAACTTCTATTTATATTTAAAGAAAAATAAAAGCAGATTAAAAAACAACTAGCTTGTATGTATTTAAATAAAAGTATGGAATTCTGATATATCCAAACTTCACCCCTAGAATTATTTATATTCTACATTGCCTTCATTCAGCAGCCATTCTGGAAGATTATTATTTTTTGGGTAACTAGATCAAAGTTTCTAAAAACAGCTATATAAAGAGTCAAATTATTAAAAAGAATGATAAATATCAGCCTAACAGGAGTAAACTCTAATTCAGTGGTTCTCAACCTGCGGTTCACGGGCCACCTGCAGCCCAATAAGCACACACCTATAGCCCGTGTGACATCCTCAGGGCCACACAGATAGTGTATATATTGTGTAGATGTGGCCAGCATAACACATAGAGAGCTGCATATGTGGCCCACAAAGGTAATTAGGTTGAGAACCACTACTGTAATCCCACATTGTTAGACTAAAGCTGAAAACCATTAACAAAAACACCTATGGCAACTTGCCTCAAATGATCCACATGCAGATATTAGAAAAATATATCCCACTGCCAGCAAACAATCTACAGCAGCACATATAAAGGAAACAGGAGTCTTGACACTTGCCCTAATGGAGGACAAACACAGTCCAGGGTAACAGATCTGATGGATAAAGTTCTTTTCTGGAGTCTATATAAAACATTCTAATGAGCACTTCCAAAGCTATACTTAAAACCTATTGGGGCCAAGGGAAGAAGGGACAGATGGAAATTTCTTGTGTCTTCAAGGTAAGGGACTGCCTCTTCCCATGTTCTTATATTATCTAACACAAAGCATCTTATAATTTTATTTATTTTGTAAGTAATATAAAAAATTTTCACTGTGTAAAATGCTCAGATACCACAGTAACACCCTTAATCTAAAACCTACAGGCTGATTATTAGATTTATAGCAGTCATTCAAAAGAATTTACTGAACTTCAGCAAAGTCCCTTTCAACAGACCAAATATTTTACAGGAGAAAGTATCTGGATTTTTTCCATGCACAGTGTTCATCTGTAATGAGTTGCTCTTTTTATTTTTATTGATTTGACATGGTAGATGAGAAAAAAAGTCAGGGAAACATGATTTACCATATCATTCTTAATTCTACCTGATTGTTCCCAGATAATACCATATACAGAGCCCAATCCTGCTCCCATTAAAGTCAGTGCCAAAATTCCCATTGGGTTCAAGCAAGTCCACATTTGATTGCTAAAGGGATCTATACCACTGAAAAAATATTTAACAAAGCCTCTATATGCTGTACCATATATAAAAAAGGGATCCATTTGATGTACAAATATTTTATTTGCCATTTGTACTTCCCAGTGTAAAGTAGGTAATTTGGAGAGGGAATGTGAGAGGCTTTCCTTCCAGGTTCAGCTTTACATGCAATTTCAAGGTGACCAGCAATGAACCTGGAACAGATGTCCCATGTTTTCTTTCCTGCCTGAAGCCGGAAGGGACTTCCTGTGCATAAAGTGAAATTTTGTGACTGTACTGGAAGAAAAGATTCTTGGACTGGAATGTCAAGTGGAAGCGCTACGGAGAATCAGAGAAGCTGAGGAGTTCCTAGACACCCAGGTTTGAGTAACACCAGTACCCCAGGTTCAAGGACAGCCACCAAAAAGTCAGAGAGAGAGAGGAAGTCAGAGAAGAGGCTTGACAGTGTATAACCACCAGAGGCAAGAGGTCACAGCAGCATTCTGCATGACTGGAAACAGACAAGGATGGGCGGGCTGTGGCCACCAGAGAAAAGAGGGCCAAGAGGAATTCCAGAGCTAGAAGTTTCCAATCAATGCCAGGTCCTCAGTATGGAAACTGTGGAAGATCTCTCTCAAAATCCAACTGGCCCGAGAGACTGGAGGGATGTTTGGGTCTCTCCTGTGGATGGCAGCTCAGCCCAAACTAAAAAAATCAAGCAGGCACAAAAAGAGATCTTCAACTGCCCCAGGAAGACGGATGATCCTTGTTGGGCATTTAGTACTCAGAAGAATCAAAAGCACATTCTGCAAAGACAGGCAGACAACAGGACAGTGTTCCGTCTTTCTGGAGCCGTCAGTCTAGACTGGATAGGCTTCTGAAGTCAATGGGCAAGGATCCATTGGGGAGAGAGTTTATAGTGGTGCTAATGATGCGCTGTCATGGGATATCTCACAGATAAGAGAGAACTTCAGGGAACTCAGAAACATGCTAAAGAAGAATATCCAAGCGATCTTCTCAGAGATCCTTCCTGTTCCATAAGCAAAGGAACACAGAAATTTCTGAAAGTGAACTGCTGGCTAGGTAAGTGGCAGAACATGGAGGGTTTGGGTTTTGTATAACATTGGTCCATCTTCTGTGAGGAGAGGGAGCTGTACAGTTTGGATGGCATCCATCTCACTGAAGGAGAACCGATTTCTTCAGGCTGGCTAGTATAGTCAGGAGGGATAATAACAAAAGGGAAGAGTAAAAAGAGGGAAAACCATGACCACTCATTTAGCACAAAATTGAGATGTTAAGAGAACAAAATTAATCAAAGGACAAGAAAAGAAGAAATTCTTTAATTGCCTATACATCAATGCTAGGGAACCTGGTTAACAATCAAGAGGAGTTGGCATTGCTCATTTATGAGCACATATTTGATCCAGTTGATTTTACTGCAACCTGATGGGATGATTCACATAGTTGGACTATTAAAATCAATTGTTATAACCTAGTTATAAAGGATCAATTGGGTAAAATGTAAAAAAATGGCATTACCTGTTTCTGAGTAGCTGACAACTCAGAAGAAAATGATTTTGAATGCTTACAGATCAATGCCCTAACAGAAAGCACAAGATGGGGTATTAGTTACAGACCACCAAATAACATATAACAAATGGAAGAAAGGGGAAGTCAATAGTAATTAATATAAAACTGAAGCTAGGAATTCTATAAAATTGGTAAGAGAAGCAAAGGGATACACAGAGATATCTATCTCCAGCAGAGTTAAGGACAATAAGGAATTTTTTAAACCTACATTATGAACAAAGAATCCTAACAACAGTACTGGTCAATTCTACCATTTGCATCTTGGAATGATCAATAATAATAATGCAGAAATGGTAGAAGTGTTCAATAAATATTTCTGTTCTGTATTAGGGAAAAATATGATGTAGTCATATCATATGAAAATGTTCTTTCCATTCCACTAGCATCTCATAAGGAAGTTAAAGAGCAGCTACTAAAATTAGACATTTATAAATCAGCAGGTTCAGATAACTTGTATCCAAGAGTTTTAAAACAGCTGGCTGAGAAGCATGGATTGTTAATGTTAATGAACAACATTGTTAATATTGATTTTCAATAAGTCTTGGAACAGTGGAGAAAGAAAGCTAATGTTGTACCAATATTTTAAAAGTATAGATGGGATGAGTTCGGTAATTCTAGGCCTGTCAGTCTGACATCAATCCTGGGCAAAATATCGGAGCAGCTGATATGGGTCTTTATCAAAAATTAAAGGAGAGTAATATAATTAATGCCAATCAATATGGCTTTATGGAAAATAGAGCCTTTCAAACTAACTTGATTTTTTATGAGATTACAAGTTTGGTCAATAAAGGTAATAGCATTGACATAATATACTTAGACTTCTTGTAAGACATTTGACTTGGTACTGAATGACATTTTGATTAAAAAGCTAGAATGATATAAAATTAACACAGCACACATTAAATGAATTGAAAGTTAATTAACTGAGAAGTCTCAAAATGTCATTGTAAATGGGAAATCATCTTTGAGAGGGTGTTTTGCTTGGGGTTCTGGATTAGTTCTTGGCCCTACACTATTTTGACATTTTTATCAATGAACTGGAAGAAAACATAAAATCAATTATAAAGTTTGCAGATGACACAAAAATTCGGACTGGTAAATAATGAAGAAAACAGGTCACCCATACAGAGATTGCTGGATTGCTTGGTAAACAAGGCACAAATAAACAATATGTATTTTAATAAACAGTGACCAAGATTTTGGTGTCATAGTGGATAATCAGCTGGACATGAACTCCCAGTACAATGCTGTGGCCAGCAGGGCTAATTCAATCCTTGGATGTATAACAAGGAATCTCAAATCTCTACATTTGGCACTGGTGTAACCGCGGCTGAACACTGTCCTGTACTGGTGTCTACAATTCAAAAAGGATGTTGATAAATAGAATAAGGTTCAGAGAACCATGAGAATGATTAAAGAATTTGAAAAGATGCTTTACAGCACAGGTTTTCAAACTTTTTAGGCTGTGTACCCCTTTCCAAATAATGTAGTCTTACTGCATACTCCAATCTGAGTTAGGGTCATAATATACCTATGATTAGATTGCCAAGTCTTACTAAATAAAGTGAGTTGTTCGCCACTGCAGGATTTTTCTTGCATACCCCCTGACAAGAGCTCACATAGCCCTAGGGGTACGTGTATTCCAGTTTGAAAACCACTGCCTTATAGTGACAGAGTCAAGGAGCTCAGTTTATTTAGTTTAACAAAGAGACGGTTAAGGGGTGACTTGATCACAAAGTACCTACAGGGGGGAAAAATATTTGATAATGGACTCTTCAGTCTATCAAAGAAAGGTATAACATGATCCAATGACTGGAAGTTGAAGCTAGACTGGCAATGTTTAATTCAAGCTTGGAGATTTTCTAAAAGATATGACAGGTTTCAGAGGAACAGCCGTGTTAGTCTGTATTCGCAAAAAGAAAAGGAGTACTTGTGGCACCTTAGAGACTAACCAATTTATTTGAGCATGAGCTTTCGTGAGCCGCTGTGGCTCACGAAAGCTCATGCTCAAATAAATTGGTTAGTCTCTAAGGTGCCACAAGTACTCCTTTTCTTTTTGTAAAAGATATGAGTAAGGCTGCATGTTTGTTGAGGAAGGGATATGTCACCACTTCCGGGGAGCCACAAGGAGCCAGCCAGCCCCGCCCAACCACCACCACCACTCCGAGCACCTGTGGCTCCCCCTCCAGCATCCCCCCAGGCTGCCCCAAGATTTAGTAAGGGGTATATAGTACAAGTCATGGACAGGTCACGAGCCATGAATTTTTGTTTTCTGCTTGTGACCTGTCCATGACTTTTATTAAAAATACCATTGACTAAAACGTAGCCTTAGATATGAGGAATCATTTGAGGGAAGTTCCATTGACTATGTTATACAGGAAGTCAGACTAGATGATCACAGGCCCAACTTGATGATCACTTTAGATAAACTATTACCAGCAGGAGAGTGAGTTTGTGTGTGTATGGGAGTGGGGGGGTGAGAAAATCTGGATTTGTGCTGGAAATGGCCCACCTTGATTATCATGCACATTGTAGGGAGAGTGGTCACTTTGGATAAGCTATTACCAGCAGGAGAGTGCATTTGTGTGTATGGTTTTTGGAGGGGGGTGAGAGAACCTGGATTTGTGCAGGAAATGGCCCACCTTGATTATCATACACATTGTGAAGAGAGTGGTCACTTTGGATGGGCTATTACCAGCAGGAGAGTGAGTTTGGGGGGGGGGGAGCAGAGGGTGAGAAAACCTGGATTTGTGCTGGAAATGGCCCAACTTGATGATCACTTTAGATAAGCTATTACCAGCAGGACAGTGGGGTGGGAGGAGGTATTGTTTCATGGCCTCTGTGTGTATATAATGTCTTCTGCAGTTTCCACGGTATGCATCCGATGAAGTGAGCTGTAGCTCACGAAAGCTCATGCTCAAATAAATTGGTTAGTCTCTAAGGTGCCACAAGTACTCCTTTTCTTTTTAGATGATCACAGTTATCCCTTCTGGCCTTGGAATCTTATGGCATAGGAGGAAGAGCATGTACTTTCTGGAAAGACTGCAACCAAGTACAGTGGGCTAAGCGTGATCCTGTTTGGGAATCGTCTTTAATAAACCAACTCTCAGAACAGGGATTTGAATTGAACTAGAGTCTGCACTTTATTTGACCTCGCTGGCTGGTGTATTTGAACGCGGCTTTTAACTCAAAAAAGCCCTTTTGAACAGTTAATTTCATGCCCAAAAGAAAGTACATGTCCTTGTTCTTCTAATCAATGACCTTCTCTTGCTCTGCATATCCATCTCCCAAATGGAAAATACTAAATTAATGTACGTAGAACCTAGAAATAATGTATGCAAGCTCATACTTTACGAATTTAAGGACTGGCCATTGCACAGCACAAAAGTGAGGGCAAGGGCTCTTAGAAATGTATTAAACAAGTCACTTGTAAAAATTAAATCAGTCATGCAACTTATCAGGATGTGGTCTTTAATCCACGGGGGGGTGGGGGAGAATTATTTCCAACTTTGTTTGGTAGATAGAAGCATAGGGTTAGTTCCAACTTTCCAAAAGGGTATTTCCAAAACCACTTAAAGCATGTTTATATAACCTATTCTACATTTTAAGAATTTTTAGTCACAAGGAATGTGTAATAGTGTTTTACAATACTGCATTAGAAATACTGTATTTTCCACTGAATGCATCCGATGAAGTGAGCTGTAGCTCACGAAAGCTTATGCTCAAATAAATTTGTTAGTCTCTAAGGTGCCACAAGTACTCCTTTTATGTTTTGTGCACTCATCCAGACCATTGTTTTTACATAAAAGACATCCATGTAAGACATATAATTTTGTATGTTATACATTTCCACACTCTTCTTATTTTAATATAGACTAAGAGCTTGTACTTGCTGTGACCAAATTTTTACTTAAACATGGATTTTAAACAGTTTTAGTTTACAACATTTTAAATTTAAACACTATTGGCTGTAAAGCTAGTAAGGCTTTTTCTGATGAGAGTTGGAGAAAACAAAAAAACATACTTTGTTTAATAGTGAAGTGCAAGTACACTTCATATCTTTAATTTCATTGGGGGTTTGCAAATAATGGAGAAATTCAAGGAATATCTGATTGACTGGCAAAAAATTGTTAAATAATTCCTAGATTCATTTTTCTAAAAGAGCAATTATTATTTTGTATTTTTAAATTTTCATGGGCCAAATGTTCTGCATATCTATTCACAGTAATGGCAAACAACACACATAGACTAAGGTAGATTAAATAAGGTTTTATGGTTGGTATGATTAAGAAGCAGTCTTTAGAAAGTTACTTTCTGCAAAGCAGATATGAAAAGTGTTTTTATGTTCTAGCTCAGACTTTAATCCAGATGTATACTGTTCAGCTAAACTGTGGAAACTGTTTCTTAATTTTCACCACATTACATTCACTAACTTCAAATTCAGACATTATGTTACTGATGTAATTCTAGCACACATATTCAATATACTTGTATGGTCTTCTAAGAAACCTTAGAGAAGACAGCAGTTACAGGTGCTTTAACAACATCCAGCCAACACAGCTTTGAGGAAACTAAGAGCTATCAACATAAGGCTCATTGACATCCTACTCTCAAAGTCTGAGGACAATTCTGACACATAGGGCAGGTCTACACTACAGCCGGGATTGACGCTCTGAGATCAATCCACTGGCGGTCAATTTAGCTGGTCTAGTGAAGACCCACCAAATCGACAGCTGATCACTCTCCAGTCGACCCCTGTACTCTACCCGCAATGAGGAGATTTTCTCCCGTCGACTGCACCTGGTAACTCAACCTAAGGTTGACTCCAGCTACGTTATTCACATAGCTGGAGTTGTGTAGCATAGGTCAATTTACTGAGGTAGTGTAGAAATAGCCTTAGATTACAAAAGTAAGATAATTATAGCTTTATACTTCATAATACTCAAAGGACTACTCTTAAGTGATGGAAGATAGAGCAGCCTGTGCTTGGAAGGTCACAATAAGCAAGAATTAAGTAGAAGGGTTGAACGATGAAGTGCCTTAGAAGACAGCAATAGGTTAGAGACATACTAACAGTAATTTAGTTAAAATAACAGAAACTAATTTGTAGTGAACTTGTATTCTGAAGCTTCAAGACACACCCTGGTGTTAAGAAGCATAGCACTGTAGATTAAAAGGATCAATACACTTACTAAAACGCCTGATATTCAATTTAAAAATAATTACTTTTTAAACTCAAAAAAGCAAGATTTCCCCCATTATACTAATTAACCTTAAAGGATTAGAGACTATACACATGGATTCAAACTGTATTTATTTAATTTCACTGTAAACCAAATAAATTAGGTCAATATAAATTCCATTTTGTTGTATGTACATCTATGCCATCAGGAAGCTGTTCAGGCCAGCTAATGTAATAGTGATAAAGTGTACTCCTTCCTTAGCCTTGTGAAGGTTCACATCTTCATTTTCTCTGTCCATCAAATGGTTCCTGTACAGTATGGCCAATCTTTCATCCCCAAAGTAGACTAAAATAGACAGAAAATTAAAGTTAGATTTGTAATTTTATATATATATATTAAAGTAACATGGAAGTAACATGGGTCTTTCTAAACACAAGACAGGATGTACAACTCTAGCTCAATGCACATTACTACACCTGGGGGAAAGCTGCGCCACTACGCAATCAAGAATTTTGCAGAAATTCACGCTGAATTCCCCCCCCCCCCCCAGAAATAGGCTGCAGCGCTGTTGGCCGCCACTAGGGGACGCTGGACTCCGCAGAGGCCAGCTCACACATGGAAGACACTGCAGGGGGGAGGGGAAGGGAAGGGAGCTAGAGGGCTCCCGGCAGCTGCAGTTCCCAGCACGCCCTGAGGGAAGGAGATGGCAGCATGCAGGAAACTCCACACAAGCCTGGGGTGGAGCATCAGGCTGTTTCTCCCTCTGAATCCCTGGGCTCTGAGGGGTAGAGGGGGTGGGTGTCTGGGCTCGGGGGTCCACAGGTGGTCTCTGGGAAGAAGCGGGGGCTCTGTGGCTGGGCTCTGGAGGGGGTGGGAAGGGTTGTGGGTATCTGGCCCCCCCAGCTAGGCTCGATATTATCTTAGTATACTCTCCCTTTATATTAATCAGTTTCGATACAGTATTACTAAGTTACTGGCACCACAACAAAGACATCTGTCAATATTTTCCACTTCATTTTATTCAGTACTTAAAACAAATAATAGTGTTGGCCTTCTTCCATGAATGTCTTTTAATAAACAAAAGAGTTACAGTGAAGCATTTGTCTAACAATCATCATCAAATCACTTAACTTCTCTGCTCTGCACCTGTTTCCTCATTTATAAAGCAGGTATAGAATGTCCTATCTCAAGGATGTTGTAAGGCTTACTCTTCGTAAATTGTTTGAAGATCCTCAGAAAAAAACCCAAAATTTACATGTGAAGCATTAATATTTCCTCAAAAGACAGTATTTGGAGAACATTACCTAGGGAGGTGGTGGAATCTCCTTCTTAGATATTTTTAAGATCAGGCTTGACAAAGCCCTGGCTGGGATGATTTAGTTGGGGATTGGTCCTGCTTTGAGCGGGGGTTGGACTAGATGACCTCCTGAGGTCCCTTCCAACCCTGATATTCAATGATTCTATGAATTAAAATTAATCAAAGGTAGGAATGAAACAATGTTAACTCTTTCCCCTTGTGTTCGTACATTGATACAATCTTTTTACAGTATCATCTACTGTTTCTCAAATTCAATATATGCCTCATATAACTTACAAGATATCCATTAAATGAAGCAGGCACCTTTTCTCATTCCCTGTGTGCTTTATAATCATATTACATTATATCAACCATCTCCCAGTCATATCAGTTCAAGAGCTGCGTGGGTTAAAAAAAAGTAGTGAAAGTGTTACGTCAGCTGATCGTTATAGAATGGCTCTCATTTACCCCATTCCAAAAAGCAGCAAATAATACACATCAATGCACTTTTTGTAGTTTAAGACACTTTCACATAAATGATTCTCTCCTAAAGTTTTAATAATATATAATTACCCAGTCTTCTAGTCTTGGTATGTAATGGAGGACTTGGAAAGCTGCTTGTGTAGTTGGCCTATCTATTCAGAAGTATGGGCCAGTTTGCAGTACATGGCACTATCCCCACTCTAGAATATATGTGTGTGTGTGTGTTGTTTTTTTTTTAAATTTACAGTAGAAAGCAGTGGAGCTGTTCAGAGGTGCAGGATGAAGAGCTCGCATAAAAAGAATGCATATAAACAGAGGAGCTATGAAAACTCTAAATGAGCCATAAACCCCCAGGCTTAAGAGGGGAAATGTGAAGTGTCCCAAATCACTGTTGTCTTTAAAAAAAAAAAAAAAAATCAGTTGGAGAACTTTGCATGGGTGGAGAGAGACTCTCTCCCACCATTTGCAATGCATGGAGAGAGATACTCTAGGACAAGATATGGGGCTCCTTCCCTCCTTATCAGGAGGAGAGATAAATATCCTCCTGTAGCACATCTTGACTTTTCACTGTACAAACTTCATTTCAGACTTGTTGGAGCACAGTGGTGGTGCTTAAATAATTTTAAAAGTTCTTTCATGACTTACCATTTCTCCCGTTCACTATCAATCTTAATGACTAGCAAGCTAATTAAAAATTCACTTTTGACAAGAAGCCCATAATGAAGGAAGTTCTCAAACTATGATGACAATGATCAATGAAGACAGGATTTCCTGGCAGTTAACGCCTAGATGGAGGGGACAGCTGAGCCTAAAGTTTTATTTTCTTTCCTAGCTTTCTGCACTGTTTTTGCATGTGTATTTACAGATGTATACGTACCTCAAAACAGTTGGCTCAGGCATTCCAGGATCTGCACCTCTCTTAAAACCTGAAGTAACAAATATATACATATATCAGCAGCTAACCAACACAAAGTTGGGGTTCTTTCCCCACTCTCAAATTCAGTAAATTAAAAAAAATCTGTCAAAAAAACAATTATATATACACAAATCATACCCTAACCAGTATAGAAACCTCACATTCTTCTCAATATTTTAAGATTAGCACATCTTGTTAGCAGTATTTTAACGGACTGTGTCTTTGCCCTATAATTTCATAGTGACTAACCTCTATCACCCATGCTAAAGCTACATCTTCTGTTATCTTGTTTAGAAAGCAACATAACATTTAGAGGAAGACATTCAGATTACTTCTAGCTAGCATTAGCATCCCCAGCTGTTAATCATAACATGAATTGTGCAGGGAACAGAACCAATGGGTAAAGTTAATGGAGTGAAACAAGAAAGAAATGGGAAAACCCATTTAAGGTCCCTCTGAAACTCTCTTTCATTAATATGTCATGAAACAAGATTTTCCTTTCTTTTCTTTTAAGCAAACAGGAGGGAACAGAAAATCCACTCAGAAAACTATAGGTCAAGAAGAGGAAAGTATAAGACAAGGCTATATTTTCTTTCTCACCACCTCTGCCCGAGTACTTCCAAAAATTTAAATTGGTATGCATGGGTTTATTCAGTTTTAGCAAGTTATACAACTCTCCAAATAGCCAATCACATTGTATATTTTCCCACAATATTTTTAAACACATTACCTTTGTACTCTAACAAGCAATGTTTATCAGATGCAGGATTTATGTAGCACTTGAAGTATATTTGAATATAAACCAGGGTTGTCAATTAATCGCAGTTATCTCACGCAATTAACTGAAAAAAATAATCACGATTAATCACATTGTTTTAGAATACCAATTGAAAATTTATTAAATATTGTGGATGTTTTTCTACATTTTCATACATAGTGCACTCTGTATTGTAATTGAAATCAAAGTGTGTATTATTTTTGATTATAGATATTTGCACTGTAAAAATGATAAAGAAATAGTATTTTTCAATTCACCTCATACAAGTACTGTAGTGCAATCTCTTTTTTTTTTTTTTTATGGTGAAAGTGAAACTTACAAATGTAGACCTTTTTTTGTTACATAACTGCACTCAAAAACAAAACAATGCAAAACTTCAGAGCCTACAAGTTCACCCAATCCTACTTCTTGTTCAGCCAATCGCTAAGACAAACAAGTTTGTTTACATTTACAGGAGATAATGCTGCCCTCTTCTTATTTACAATGTCACCAGAAAGTGAGAGCATGGCATTTCTGTAGCCGGCATTGCAAAGTATTTAAGTGCCAGATATGCTAAACATTTGTATGCCCATTCATGTTTCGGCCACCATTCCAAAGGACATGCTTCCATGCTGATGACACTTGTTAAAAAAATAATGCTTTAATTAAATTTGTGACTGAACTCCTTGGAGGAGAATTGTATGTCCACTGCTCTGTTTTACCCACATTCTGCCATATATTTCATGTTCTTGCAGTCTCGGATAATGACCCAGCGCATGTTCAATTTAAGAACCCTTTCACTGCAGATTTCACAAAATTCAAAGAAGGTACCAATGTGGGAATTCTAAAGATAGCTACAACACTCGACCCAAGGTTTAAGAATCTGAAATGCCTTCCAAAATCTGAGAGGGATGAGGTGTGGAGCATGCTTTCAGAAGTCTTAAAAGAGCAACACTCCAATGCAGAAACTATAGAATCCGAACAACCAAATAAGAAAATCAACCTTCTACTAGTGGCATCTGACTCAGATAATTAAAATGAACATGTGTCTGTCTCTGCACTGCTTTGGATTGTTATCGAGCAGAACCCATCATCAGCATGGACCCATGTCCTCTGGCTACAACACTGCCATGAGAACACCTGTTCTTACTTTCAGGGGACATTGTAAAGCAAGTAGCATTATCGCCTGCAAATGGAAACAAAATTGTTTGTCTGAGTGATTGGCTGAACAAATAGGACGACTGAGTGGACTTCCAGGCTCTAAAATTTTACACTGTTTTATTTTGGAATGCAGTTTTTTGTACATAATTCTACATTTGTAAGTTCAACTTTCATGATAAAGAGATTGTGCTACAATACTTGAATTAGGTGAACTGAAAAAATACTATTTCTTTTGTTTTTTTAAAGTGCAAATACTTGTAATCAAAAATAAATATAAAGTGAGCACTGTACGCTTCGTATTCTGTTGTAATTGAAATAAATATATTTGAAAATGTAGAAAACATCCAAAAATATCTAAATAAATGGTATTCTATTATTGTTTAATCAAGTGATTAATTGTGATTAATTTTTTAATCGCTTGACAACCCTAATTTAAATGAATTAAAAATTGTTAGCATCATTCATAACACAATAAAAAATGATTGTGCCAGCACTAAAAATAAACTCTTCAAATCCTACATTACTACTAGTGCTATTTACTGTGATTAGTAAAGAAAATAAGATACTTGACAGGTTTCAGAGTAGCAGCCGCGTTAGTCTGTATCTGCAAAAAGAAAAGGAGTAGTTGTGGCACCTTAGAGACTAACAAATTTATTTGAGCATAAACATGGGGAAATAGTTTTACCCTGTGTAATGACACATCCACTCCCAGTCTTTATTCAAGCCTAAGTTAATTGTATCCAGTTTGCAAATTAATTCCAATTCAGCAGTCTCTTGTTAGAGTCTGTTTTTGAAGTTTTTTTTGTTGAAGAATTGCCACTTTTAGGTCTGTAATCGAGTGACCAAAGAGATTGAAGTGTTCTCCGACTGGTTTTTGAATGTTATAATTCTTGACGTCTGATTTGTTTCTATTTATTCTTTTACGCAGAGACTATCCAGTTTGGCCAATGTACATGGCAGAGGGGCATTGCTGGCACATGATGGCATATATCACATTGGTAGATGTGCAAGTGAACGAGCCTGATAGTGTGACTGATGTGATTAGGCCCTATGATGGTGTTCCCTGAATAGATATGTGGACACAGTTGGCAACGGGCTTTGTTGCAAGGATAGGTTCCTGGGTTAGTGTTTTTGTTGTGTGGTTGCTGGTGAGAATTTGCTTCAGGTTGGGGGGCTGTCTATAAGCAAAGACTGGCCTGTCTCCCAAGATCTGTGAGAGTGATGGGTCGTCCTTCAGCATAGGTTGTAGATCCTTGATGATGCGTTGGAGAGGTTTTAGTTGGGGGCTGAAGGTGATGGCTAGTGGCGTTCTGTTATTTTCTTTGTTGGGCCTGTCCTGTAATAGGTAACTTCTGGGTACTCTTCTGGCTCTGTCAATCTGTTTCTTCACTTCAGCAGGTGGGTACTGTAATTGTAAGAACGCTTGATAGTGGATGAGTCATTACACAAAGTAAAACTATTTCCCCATTTTTATTTCCTCCCCCCTACTGTTCCTCAGACGTTCTTGTCAACTGCTGGAAATGGCCCACCTTGATTATCACTACAAAAGGTTTCCCCCACCCACCCCTTCTCTCCTGCTGGTAATAGCTCACCTTACCTGATCACTCTTGTTACAGTGTGTATGGTAACACCCATTGTTTCATGTTCTCTGTGTTATAAATCTCCCCACTGTATTTTCCACTGCATGCATCCGATGAAGTGAGCTGTAGCTCACAAGCTTATGCTCAAATAAATTTGTTAGTCTCTAAGGTGCCACAACTACTCCTTGTCTTTTTAAGATACTTGACAATCTGCTAATGCACCGTTTTTAAAAAAGAAATTTGTATTGGGGATTAACTCTTTCAACTAGAATTAAAAAAATTCTAATTTATTAAAGTAACCTTATGCTACAAAAAAGCATGCTTTTTTGTTCCAAAGGCACTGAATATATTGACCAAATTTCAAATTGATAGTAAAGTTTGGAAAACAGAAGTGAAGCACATGCAATGTCTAAAACTTATTTTACACAACATCCTGTACCATTTCTATAGAGAAAGGTCTTTCCCCTCTCTGTTAGATAATTACTAAGGGCCTGTGTGATTCACAGGCCATTGAAGTCAATGGGAAGACCTCCACTGATTTCAGCGGGCTTTAGATCAGGCCTTGAACAAACAGCCAAAGTATCATCTGAGAATGCAAGGAAGAATCTGACCCATTAACTTTCAATTGCTGTATTTTCCACTTTGGGCTGCTGACAGTTATTAAAGGGAAAACTCATAGAGCTGATTCTCCTATACAAGATGTGACTTAAAGCTAGATTTAAGTCAGCAAGCAGAAAACTTTGATCAAAATCATTATTTTAATTTCATTTCACATTTGTCCTTTTTATTTCCTTCTAGAGAAAAATTGATTCTCACTGGTTGGTAAACATTAAAACATGTTGATTTTCAACTAACTATAGCCTTTACACAAAATTTGCTACTGTTTGCTAACCAGGCAAATACATTATTATTTAAACACTTTTTTAAGCAATTGTATTGCTTAATATTCATTTATTCAGATTCTTAATTTTCACATTTTTCTTATGTCAGAAAATGGTGAATGAAGCATTTTTTATTTACTAGGTTACTAATTTTTTACTCATGATGTGTGTCAAGCTGCATTTGGATAGAAACTGGAATTCAATTATAAAAAGGTACAAAACTACATTTTCAAATTTGTTTTTAATTAGCCAACTAAAGCAATCTTAAATGTATTGGATACATAAGGGAAAATAGTTTTAAATGCACATGTTTTATCAAGCTAAGTAATAGATCATCGTCTCACACCTCTTTTTTTATTCATCGCTTGAAAGAAGAAAACAAGCTTTCCTGCTTTTTCAATTTCCAATACCTTTCTCAACTCTGAATAATCAGGTTGAATAAATTGAAGAAAACAGAAAAGGAGTACTTATGGCACCTTAGAGACTAACAAATTTATTTGAGCATAAGCTTTCGTGAGCTACAGCTCACTTCTTCGGTAGTCTCTTCACACCTGCCAGAGGCTACTGCTGTCAGAAACTAGTTTAATATTTTAACAAATTCTAGTTCCAGTTGCTTAGCCAGCGACTTCCA